GTCTTTTCCAGACAAACAAACGCTGAGAGAATTTGCCACTACCAAGCCAGCAGTACAAGAACTGCTAAAAGGAGCTCTAAATCTTGAAACAAATGCTCAAAAGACACCAAAATAGAACATCCTTAAAGCATAAATCTCACATAACCTATACACCACCACCACAATGGAAAAAAATGTATTTAGGCAAAAAATAGCATGATGAATAGATAGCACCTCACATCTCAAAACTAACATTGAATATAAACGCCCTAAATGCTCCACTTAAAATATACAGAATGACAGAATGGTTAGGAAATCCCCAAGCAACTTTATTCTGTCTTCAGGAGACTCACCTAACACATAAACTTAAGGCAAAGGAGTAAAAAAAGATATTCTATGCAATGAACATCAAAAGTGAGCAGGGGTAACTACTCTTATATCAGACAAAACCAACTTTAAAACAACAGCAGTTAAAAAAGACAAACATTGTATAATGATAAAAGGACTAGTCCAACAGGAAAATGCCACAATTATAAATATATAAGCATCTAACACTAGAGTTCCCAAATTTGTGAAATAATTACTACTAGACATAAGTAATGAAATAAACCAAAACACAAAAATAATGGAGGACTTTAATACTCCACTAACAGTACTAGACAGGCCATCAAGACAGAAAGTCAACAAAGAAACAATGGACCTAAACTATACCCTACAACAAATGGACTTAACAGATATTTACAGAACATTCTACCAAACAACGGCAGAATATAGATTCTATTCATCAGCACATGAAACATTCTTCAAGATAAACCATATGAATGGCCACAAGTCTCAGTAAATTAAAAAAAAAATTGAAATTGTATCAACTACTCTCTCAGACCACAGTGGAATAAAATTAGAAATAAACTCCAAAAGGAACCTTCAAAACGATGCAAATGAATGAAAATTAATAACTTGCTTCTGAATGATCATTGAGTAAATAATAAAATCAAGGTAGAAATTTAAAAGCTTTGAACTGAATGATAATAGTGACACAACCTACCAAGGCCTCTGGGATACAGCAAAAGCAGTGCTAAGAGGAAAGTTCACAGTATTAAATGCCTACATCAGAAAGTCTGAAACAGCAAAAATAGACTATCTAAGGTTACCATCATAGAATTGAGAAACAAGAATAATCCAAACCCAAACCTAGCAGGACAAAAAAAATAATAAAGATTAGAGCAGAACTAAATGAAATTGGAACAAACAAACAAAAACAATACAAAAGATAAATGAAACAAAAAGCTGGGCCGGGCGCGGTGGCTCAAGCCTGTAATCCCAGCACTTTGGGAGGCCGAGGCGGGTGGATCACGAGGTCAAGAGATCGAGACCATCCTGGTCAACACGGTGAAACCCCGTCTCTACTAAAATACAAAAAAAAAATTAGCTGGGCATGGTGGCGCGTGCCTGTAATCCCAGCTACTCAGGAGGCTGAGGCAGGAGAATTGCCTGAACCCAGGAGGCGGAGGTTGCGGTGAGCCGAGATCGCGCCATTGCACTCCAGCCTGGGAAACAAGAGCGAAACTCCGTCTCAAAAAAAAAAAAAAAAACTGGTTCTTTGAAAGGATAAACAAAATTGATAAACAATTAGTGAAATTAACCAAGAAAAGAAGAGAGAAGAGCCAAATAAGCTCAGTTAGAAATGAAATGGGGCTGTGCGCAGTGCCTCACACCTGTAATCCCAACACTTTGGGAAGCTGAGGCGAGTGGATCACTTGAGGTCAGGAGTTTGACACTAGCCTGGCCAACATGGTGAAACCCTGCCTCTACTGAAAAAGCAAATGTTAGCTGGCCATACTGGTGCATGCCTGTAATCCCAGCTACTCGGGAGGCTGAGGCAGGAAAATTGCTTAAACCCTGGCAGTGGTGGTTGCACTGAGCCGAGATCACACCACTGCATTCCAGCCTGGTGTGATCTCGACAGAGTGAGACTCTTTCTCAAAAAAATAAAAATAAAATAATAAGAAATGAAATGGGAGATATTACAATAGATACCATAGAAATACAAAAGATTATTCAAGGCTACAATGAACACCTTTATGTGCATAAAGTAGAAAACCCAGAGGAGAGAGATAAATTCCTGGAAGTATACAACCCTCCCAGATTAAACCAGGAAGACATAGAATCTCTGAACAAACCTTTAACAAGTGGCAAGACTGAAATGATAATTTAAAAACTGCTAACCAAAAAAACAAAAAAAAAAAGGCGCAGGACCAGATGAATTCATAGCTGCATTCTATTAGGCGTTCAAAGAAGAATTGGTACAAATCCTATTCACACTATTCCAAAAAATACAGAAAGATGTAATCATCCCTAAATCATTCTATAAGGCCAGTATCACCCTCATATGAAAACAAGGAAAGGACATAATGAAAATCAACAGACCAATATCCCTGATGAGTGTAGATGCAAAAATCCTTAATAAAACACTAAATAACTAAATCCAACAGCATATCAAAAAGATAATCTACTATGATCAAGTGGGTTTCATACCAGGGATGCAGGGATGGTTTAACATATGGGAGTCCATAAATGTGATAAACCACATAATCAAAATTAAAAACAAAAATCACATGATCATCTCAATGGATGCAGAAAAAGCATTTGACCAAATCTAGCATTCCTTTATGATTAAAACCCTCAGAATAACTGACATAGAACGGACAAACCTTAAGATAAAAAAGCCATTTACGACAAACTCACAGCCAACATTATATTGAATGGAAAAAAGGTGAAAATATTCTCCCTGAAGACTGGAACAAGACAAGGATGCCCACTTTCACCATTCCTATTCAATATGGTAGTAGAAGTTGTAGCCAGATCAATCAGACAAAGGAAAGAAATAAAAGCCATCCAAATTGGTAAAGAGAAAGTCAAATTGCTTGCTTGATGTTATGGTTGTATACTTAGAAAATCCTAAAGACTGATCCAAAAGGCTCCTACAACTGCTAAATGAATTCAGCAAAGTTTCAGGATACAAAATTAATGAACAGAAATCAGTAGCTCTGCTACATACCAATAGTGACCAAATTGAGAATCCAATCAAGAACTCATCCGCTTTCACAATACTTGCAAAAAAAAAAATACAATTTAAATACTTAGGGATATAACTAGCCAAGTACGTCGAAGACCTCTACAAAGAAAACTACAAAATACTGCTGAAAAAAAATCATAAAAGACACAAACAAATGGTAACACATCCCATGCTCATGGATGAGTAGAATCAATATTGTGAAAATGATCATACTGCCAAAAGCAATCTACAAATTCAGTGTAATTCCCATCAAAATACTACCATCATTTTTCAAAGAACTATAAATAAAATATCCTTAAATTCATACAGCAACAAAAAAGAGTCCACATAGCCAAAGCAAGACTAAGTAAAAAGAACACATCTGGAGGTATCACATTACTGAACTTCAAACTGTACTATAAGGTAATAGTCACCAAAACAGCATAGTATTGTTTTAAAAATAGGCACATAGACCAATGAAACAGAACATGGAATCCAGAAACAGAGTCAAATACTTAAAGTCAACTGATCATCAACAAAGCAAAAAAAAAAAAAAGTGGAGAGAGGACAGCCTATTCAACAAATGGTGTTGAGATAATTGGCAAGTCACATGAAGAAGAATGAAACTGGACTCTCATCTCTCACCTTAAACTAAGTCAACTCACAATGGATCAAGGACTTAAATCTAAGACCTGCAACCATAAACATTCTAGAAGTTAATATTGGGAAAAAGCCCTTCTAGACATTGACATTGGCTTGGGCAAAGACTTCATGACCAAGAACCCAAAAGCAAATGCAACAGAAACAAAGATAAACAGACGAGAATTAAACTAAAAAGCTCTGCATAGCAAAAGAAATAATCAGCAGAGTTAACAGAAGCTCACAAAGTAAGAGAAAATCTTCACAATCTGTACATGTGACAAAGGACTAATATCCAGAATCTACAGGAATTCAAACAAATCAGCAAGAAAAAAAAATCCCATCAAAAAAATAGACTAAGGACATGAATAGACAATTATCAAAAGGAGATATACCAATGAATAAAAAGAATATGAAAATATGCTTAACCTCACCAATTATCAGGGAAATGTAAATTAAAACCACTATGTGATACCACCTCATGCCTGAAAGAATGATCATCATTCAAAAAATCAAAAAATAAGAGGTATTAGCATGGAAACAGTGAAAAGAAAACACTTTTTTACTGTTGTTGGGAATGTAAATTAGTACAACCAGTATGGAAAACTGTGGAGATTCCTTAAAGTACTAAAAGTAGATCTACCATTTGATCCAGTAATCTTGCTACTTGGTACCTATCCAGAGGAAAAGGAATCATTATATGAAAAAAATACTTGCAATGCATGTTTATAGAAGCACGATATGCAATTGCAAAAATATGGAAGCAGTCCAAATGCCCATCAATCAATGAGTGGATAAAGAAAATGTGATACATGCACATTTGCACGCACGTGCGCGCGTGCGTGCGCGCACACACACACACACACAAACACACACCATGGAATACTACTCAGCCTAAAGAGGAATGAAAAAATGGCATTTGCAGCAACCTGGATGGAACTGGAGACTATTATTTTAAGTGAAGTAACTCAGGAATGGAAAACCAAACATTGTCTCACTAATAAGTGGAACTAAGCTACGAGGATGCAAAGGCAAAAGAAAGATACTTTGGACTTTGGAGATGTGGGGGAAAGGGTGCAGGTGGGGAGGCATAAAAGACTACACATGGGTATAGTGTACACTGCTTGGTTGATGGGTGCACCAAAATCTCAGAAATCACCACTGAAGAACTTATTCGTGTAACCAAACACTACCTGTTCCCCAAAAACCTATTGAAATAAAAAAAAATTTTTTTAAGATTTAATCTAAAAAGACAACAAATACCATTATTTCATGATGAAAAGATCAATTCAACAAGAAGAAATAACAATTCTAAACATATACGCACCTAAGTCTGGAGCTCCCAGATTCATAAAGCAATTACCACTAGATCTAAAAAAAGAGACAGACAGATACACAGATTCAATATTAGTTGAATACTTCAGCACTCCACAAGCATTGAACAAATCATCAAGGCAGAAAGTCAACAAAGGAATAATGAACTTAAAGTGCACTCTAGAACGAATGGACCTAACAGATATTTACAGAACACTCTAACGAAGAGGTGCAGAATATTCATTCTTCGCATCAGCACACAAAACATTCCCCCAAGCACATGATGTAGTTTAGATGTTTACCCAGCATCACTGACCTGCTTATTCAATCTGCCATAGCTTCTTGGTATACTTCTTGTTTTACTTTTTATCTTTTTGACTTAGGTTGAAATTGAAGATACATACACTACTCTTGGCCAGCATCCTAGCCTAATGCCCTACAACCTCAAGAAAGCGATTTGATTTACAATACCATATTACTAACTATATTCAACCCACTGTGCAATAGAACATCAGAGCTTATTCTTTCTAATTGTAATTTTGAATATCTCTGCATAACTAGAAGAGAGGAATTTGAATGCTCCCAACACAAAAAAAAGACAAATGTTTGAGGTGATTAATATGCTAATTACCCTGATTTGATCATTACACAATGTATACATGTATCAACACATCACATTGTACACTATAAAAATGTAAAATTATTGTCAATTGAAAATTTTTAAAAAGAGCTTTGAAAAGTTTACAGAATACATATATATAACTATGAATAAAATTTTTATATGTCTAATTAGATATATGTAAGGAAATATCACTCAATTAAAGAAAATAAGTTAAGGGAAATAGAAACTGGGAATTCCAGTGTTAATATCTACATTGTTCCTATGTTTTGTTTAACAACATCTCTGTTCATCATGTATGACAAAAGGATACTAATAAATACGCCAATCCTAGAAACATACACTGAACATCCTGTTACGTGATTGCTACATATTCTCTCATAGCAGCAGAAGAAAGATTAAAAGCAAACTCTGTAATTTAAAGGCTTCCTAATTAATCTGAAGCCAAGACAAATATATGGGATGGAAAGGAGAAAAAAGGCACATATTCAAGAATGATGCTGATCATAATACACTATGTTAAAAATTATTTTACTTGTCACCAGAGAAAAAAATAATCCCATTCTAAGAATGCATTATTCTAAGCTTTTTGATAAACATTTTAAAAACATGTTGTGTGCTTTGATGTGATTAATTCATTCATTTATTCCTTCTTTCAATGGGCCAAATCTGTACTGAGCACTACATGAATATCCCCAGTAACCTCTAAGGGAATTGTAGCTGCTTTACACCCATAGTCATAAGGCAGTCTGCCCCACTTTCTGGCCACATCAGCAAAGCTCTAAGTCGACATCTGAAAATGTCATATGTGTGGGGGGTATGTGTGTGTATGCCACCTGAAAATTTGATATGTGTCTGTGGGGTGGGTGTGTGTGTGTGTGTGTGTGTGTGTGCCATACAATACCACTAAGCCAAAAAAAAAAAAAAAAAGAATAAAATCATGTATTTTGTGTCAACAAGAATGGTAATAGAGATCATTATCCTTAATGAAATCACTCAGATACAGAAAGGAAATAATTGCATGTTCTCACTTACAAGTGGGAGCTAAACAGTGAGTATACAGGGACATACAGAGTAGAATAACAAACACCGAAGACAACAAAAGGTGGAAGAGGAAGGGTGGTAAGGTTTAAAATACTACCTATTGGGTATAATGTACACTACTCGGTTGATGGGTACACTAAAAGCCCAAACTTCACCTCTACACAATACACCTATAGAACACAACCATACTTGTATCCCTTAATCTATGAAAATAAAAACAAAGTAAAAAATATTTTTTAAAAAGATAAAATTGTGAAATTCAAAGTTTCAGGTCCGTCCTTAATATCTTTGATAGTCCTCTGATCCTAGGAAACTGTGAGACAACTGGGATAAATTTTAACTAAACCTATAGCCTGGCACCAAATGCAGCCAAGGTTAGCTTAAGTTAGTCAACCACAGCTTGGCCAAAGACATGGGAGAAATAAATGCTGATTCACTCTATGCCACTGATTTTTCTATGGTAATTGGTTATGCCACATTATTCTAGCAATAGTTGATTAAGCAGCTAGGATCAAACCATGGAAATGCTTAACTAGGAGAATATAATAATGTGGCATTAATAATCTGTCTCTGCAACTAGACTGCCAGAGTTCAGTATCCAGTTCTATTGTTAATAATCATGTGAATTTTGGCCAAATCAATTACTCTGCGTCTCAGTTTCTTCAACTGTAAAGTAAGAAAAGTTATGGGGTATTTTTGAGGCTTAAACAAGTTAATCATTTACTATTTGATAGCACAATATCTGGTACATACTTAGTACTCAACTAGAATTCACAATCATTATTCAATACAAGAATGAAAAGTTCAGCTTTTACTCAGCAGGCCAATAGTTTTTAAGTATATGTTCATGAAACATATTTGTTCTGTCAGCTATGTTACTGCTTTCCTTTAGAATTATGTTGGTCTTTTCCCAGTGTGTAGATGAATTTAAGTAACTTGACACAAATTTCTCATTCTAAGAATTTTTTTTTCCTCATATGTTTATCTCTTGTTTGCAAGCCAACTGATAAGAAATAAATGAACAAGTATATTAAAATTAAGAGAAAAATTCATAAAAAATCAACTTTAGTTTGAAAGATATTTTAAATCGACATTTGTGCTCAAAATTGTACTTTGTATCACACAAGCAAAACAGTGTTTTCTCCTAGGAAAATTTTTCGTCATTCTTATGACGGGCTTCAAGATGTCATCATATAATGATGTTTTACAAATAATATGGTATTCTAAAAAGAGCAAAATAACTTCCAGGTATGTTACCTGCTTAAGATCACTTTTGTTGAGAATTCAGTATCTCTGAAAAATCTGTTCGTTTCTTCTTGTTGTTTAGTTGATTGGTTGCTACAGCAAGAGAGATCTGCACTTAAAACGTTTATCTTGGCAGTAATATAGCCAAGATATATTGGCTATATATTAAGGTAGAAAAGATAGTGAAGGTAGGAAGCGCTGGGCGCCAAACAGGTTGGTATGTAGCCCTAAGAGCTCTAGAAGCCTATAGGAATGGGTTAATGGGAAAAAATTTAGGGAAATGGACAGGATATGAAAATATCTGCAAGCAGGTAGTAAGGGAAAGGAAAGAGATTCTTAAATTTCAGTGTACCTGAAAATCACTCCAAGAGTTTGTTAAAAATGCATATATAGTCCATGTCCCCACTTCCAAAAATTCTGTCTAGAATTTCTGAAATAGTGATACAGAATATTCAATTTTAACAAATTCCCTTTCTGATTTTGCTTTGGGTTGAGAGCTACATTTTGTGAAACATTAGAACATGCCTTTCCCTAATCATCTGTAAACATTAGTTTTACTCTAAGATTTCAGAATCATTTAGCACTTTGCATGTCCCAGTTACTGCCAAGGACTGCTGCAGATGGGAATTTGGGGTAATGATTGATACCTGGGTTTTATGCCTGCACATCTGGGAGGATAATGCCATTAATCATGATGAAGAACACATGACAAAATCAGATTTTGGAAAGAAGGAAAGATAATGCACGTTTTCTTTTTTTCTTTCCGTTTTATTGACAAGTTGGATGTTGGACATTTTGGGGAGGTGGCATTAAATACTAACTCTATTCCATTTTTAGGGGGGTGGGGAGAGGAATTAAATACTAACTCTATTCCATTTGTAATGTGGAATGAAGTTCTGAGTAAGCAAGATGGGAAATCACCAGGGCTACTTTATGACTGATAAATGCCATTTGGAAGCTGGCATTAGATAGGGTGTGCCACAAATGAGCTTCTTTACACTGAAACTCAACATTAAGATTCCTAATCCTTGCAATTCTGCCAGACAGAAGCAACTGCCTCACCCTGCTCTCTGAAAGCAACTAAAAGACATACCACCCTGTCCACTCTACCTAAAAGAGCAGTTTACAAAATTTGTAGTATAGATGTTGTATGTTTCATTTAAAAACACAATTCAGATTTCAAAATTAGTGTGATTATTATCACCACTTGAACCTAAGTTCTATGAAGCAAGGATCAGTCACATTTGTTCACTACTCAATAATCAGAATGTAATCCCAGCACTTTAGAAGGCCGAGGCGGACAGATCACTAGAGGTCACGAGCTACAGACCAGCCTGGCCAACATGGTGAAACCCAGTCTCTATTAAAATATAAAAATTAATTGGGCGTGGTGGCGCATGCCTGTAATCCCAACTACTAAGGAGGCTGAGGCAAGAGAATCACTTGAACCCGCAAGGCAGAGGCTGCAGTGAGCCGAGATTGCGCCACGGCACTCCAGCCTTGGTGACATAGCGAGACTCCATCTCTAAATAAATAAGAGTAGGAACTCTAAACAATTTGTTGAATAAACACATTTTAATAAATTGGCAAATACTAATTTCTGATCTTGTTCAGATTTTTCGTTTGTTATCTGCACAAATCGAAGTTCCATATTACCTAAGTCAAACAGGCAAGGAAGACATTATTGAAGATTACTGGCAGTCGGGAAAGGGGATAGAACTCTTCTAAGCCCAACTTAAAAAAAGAAAAACAAAACAACAAAAAAAACCCAGTAGTGGAGAGTTTTTAAGAACTATGTTGGGAAGATCATGGACTACCTGAGTTTGCTGATTGACGTTACCAAAAGGAAAAGTAAATTTTCTCCTCCACGAGAGGAGGTGGTTTTACGACTACAAGGGAGAAGCCTACAGCGGTTAGGCTCCTATCCTCCCACACGAAAGAGATGGCTCACTATCTTCCTTGCTGACTATATTTCAAAGGCATGGCTTCCATAACCTTGAGATAGTTTTCAACTACAAAATTGGCCACAACTTTTTAAAAACATTTACATCTGAAAAGGAAAGTGGAAAAAAATTACAATGGTAAAGTTTTCTCAAGTAAACGCTCTTTAGAAAAGGAGGTGAGGAATCCACATGCTTAAGGCTGGTAATCAAGCTGAGGGAAACTAAGCCCCTCTGGTTTACTGCTTAAATGTGTTATTGCAGTTTGACACCAATGAATTCAGATTATGAGCTTCCGTTCTCTCAAGCTTCCTGCAGGAGAGAGCTCCTGTACATGTTACACAATCTTTTTTTGTCTACTTACTCTGTTAATACGCGTTCTTGACTGCGCCTCACTGACAGTGAAAAGAGCAAAGCTTCCAGAAGACAAGTCCTTGCGCGTTCCACAAGTGCGCGTGCGCACTCGGCGCTGGGCCTCTGACGTCACCGAGTGCACCCCCGCCCCTACAAGTTAGTAACCGAAGGCGTCCTTAGCAGCAGTGGCCGCTGAGATGTACGAACTTCCGGTTCTCGCGGCAGCTGCAGCTGCCAGAGCCTCTGCCACCTGCCACGACCGGGCCTCTCCCTGGCGATTGGTCACCTCTTCTTTATTTTCCTCTGCGCCTATGGCCCCTTTTGGAGCCAGCGTGGCGGGCCCGGCGGCCCCCGGGTGGTGAGAGAGCAGTCTGGGAACGATGAAGGCCTCGCACTGCTGCTGCTGTCTCAGCCACCTCGTGGCTTCCGTCCTCCTCCTGCTGCTGCTGCCTGAGCTAAGCGGGCCCCTGGCAGTACTACTACAGGCAGCCGAAGCCGTACCAGGTCCTGGGCCTCCTGACCCTCGACCACGGACATTGCCGCCGCTGCCACCGGGCCCTACCGCTGCCCAGCAGCCGGGCCGTGGTCTAGCTGAAGCTGCGGGGCCGCGGGGCTCCGAGGGCGGCAATGGCAGCAGCCCTGGGGCCGGGCTTGAGGCGGAGGATCACGGAGGGAAGGCCGGGGAAGGCTCGGTGGGTGGCGGCCTTGCTGTGAGCCCCAATCCTGGCGACAAGCCCATGACCCAGCGGGCCCTGACAGTGTTGATGGTGGTGAGCGGCGCGGTGCTGGTGTACTTCGTGGTCAGGACGGTCAGGTGAGGCAAAGCCTCGGTGGGGCTCCCCCGTGGGCCTGAGGTGCGCAGGCCAGTGATGTCCTCCAGCAAGGCCTGTGACCCTTTCCCCGTTCCCCAACATCAGGGGTTCCTGCCTAAGAGTGTGACTTGACTATCTTAAAGCCCTGTTACCTTTGGGGCAATTTAAACCTACTACTAATTGCTGCCTTTTGTTTATAAATTAGCGCCCTACCTCCAAATCTCTTCATCTGACCTACGACCCACATCAGCCTCACAGGGCACCCTTTCTCTGAAGGGAAGATAATCTTTATTCCCTTGAATTTCGACAACTCTGCCTTGTAAAATACTTCTACCTTTCTACTCTACATTTTGCCAATGGTCAAAATTTTGCCAATCAGAATGCAAAGTCTTTAAAGACAGGATAACTATCTGGTAGGTTTATGAGTCTTATAAATTCTTGTACAGTGCTGCCACTTAATAGGAAATTAATATGTATTTGAGTGGATTGATAGTAGTATAGAGGTGCCTTATTATGGATATTTTATTTTTATAAAATTCGGGAGAAGAAAAGTTCTTCCTTACCATCAGTGTTGCATAGTATTAGCCTTTAATCTGCCACATAATTCGATTATACCAAATTACTTGAGAATCACCTTCCTGAAGAGTTAGTAAAAAGAGCCAAGACCTCACAATTAGGAGAATCCAGCAAAGAGACAAGGTGAAGGAAAGCTGTTTAGCTGTTTCCTTCCTTGTAAAATAAGTGTAGAGGGTAGATTTGCAGATTGTGCTGGTTTTTCGTTTTCCAAATTACTTCACATTTTCCCCATAGTTACGCTCTGTATTATAATTTAAAGTATTTCTTTTAACTGATTATTAAAAAGTTTCCCTTTAAACAAGTCATTATTATCATGAATGGAAAACGAACATCACTTGGCTGGTTGAAAAATAATATAAGCCAGAGGTTCTTGACATGTGGGCCAGGGAACCACAGAGGTGGAAGTTTCACTTTGACCTCTTAGACCTCTTCAGGGGATCTACAGTATTAAAATTGTTTTCAAAATAATACATGCTGTTAAAGGCCTTACAAATAGTTGATAGATATTGTTTCAGATTCCACATTGCAACTAACTTTTACGAAACTGCTTGTCAAGTTTTGGTGTAGTATGAAAAAGAAATAACCAGTAGTACATAAAAAGGTTATTAAAATTTTTCTTTCTATTACAAGTTTATATCCATGTGAAGATGGAATTACTTTGTAAGTTTCAACCAAACAGCACGTTGCAAAGGATTTAATGGAGAAGTAAATATAAAAATCTGTTTCCTATTTTTGTTTCTATTTTTTACCAACTTCTATCACCTTAAACCAGATATTAAAGGGATTTGGAAATAAAAATCTAAATGTCATTCTTTTTACATTTCTTTTTCTTTTGAAAATGTAGTTACTTTTCATGGGAGTTATTTTAACCTGTAATGTGTTTACTTTTATTATTTTAAATCAGTTGATATGTATAGGTTTTCTCTGGTTTAATTAATATGTTAAAAGTTGATATGTGTAATTCACATCAGTGTAAGTTTTTTCAGGGTCCTGAGTAATTTTAAGAATGTAAAGAAATCCAAAACATTTGAGAACCACGAGTATAAGCAATATTATTACCGAGCTAGAAATGTTGGTTTACAAAGGCTAACAAATCTGTGCTCATACTCTGTTAAAGAAGTTAGAAAATGTTCTGGAAGTGTTTAAAACATATTACCACCAAATTGAGACTTTCTTCTTGATATAAAGAAAGATTAAAAGAATATTAAAACAAATTATTTTCCTCACTATATAACTAATGTTTAATGCTGTCTGTATATAGTTCCTATAAAAATGCATGGCCTCTTGAGTGTTGTATCTCTTCGACATATAAATTATGGGTATAATGATAATTTGGTGGAGATATTCCTTGCTTGTTTTTCCTTTTGCTTCCTCTTTTTAATAATTTTAAATACACATATTTATTGTCATTGATTTTCTGTCATTATTGTTGTAAAACTTGGACAGATACAGTCTTCCCAATCAGATTCTATTTGATGACTCAGAAACATGATGTGTGCTAACAGCCAAATTCTGAACTGTGGCTAATAAAAACTGCTTTCTTTAAACAGCATCTAACACATTCATGCAGTCCGAGTCCTACATTTAGTTGGCTGCCTGGCATCCAAGGCTTGATTGATGCTAACAGTGTCTGGGCAATGTTCAGAACTCATACTTTTTGCTTCCAGATTATCATTTTCTTCATTATTTTGGTGAATGCTCATTTTGGCTCCCATTTCAAAACTATGTGTGACAGTGCACTGAAATTAGTTATTTGTGCCAAGGGAAAAGAATGGGCCAAAATCATTATTTTCTTAACTGATTTGAGGTGATGAGGAAAATATTTTACTTGTAAAATGTTATTACATTGAACTCCAGGAGACTTTCAAATTGTTTTGTTTTCAGCTAATTCAGTTATAATGAATATGTTGGTAGCAGTAACTTCCTTTTTGAGTAAACATTCCAAAGAATAGTCAGATTCTCCCTGTAAAATATATACACATACAAGGAACACAGTAGGGACAAAGTAGATTTCCTAAAATGAACACTTAATCTCTATGAGAAAAGACTTGTCTGTTTTAATCTCCCCTTTATCCTCAGTGCCGAACATCATGTGCAGCATATGATGGGCACTGAATAAGTGAATGAGCACTCTTCCTCCATTATATTGCTGAACAGGTAGGTGGTAAGGATTTGGAAATTTAAGAATAATTGCTACTTACTGATAGAACAAAGAAATGTGAAGATCTAAATTAATACTTATATTTCCTTCCTCTCAGTGGGACATTCTCCCCACAGTTTTGTTTAAGGCTGGGGGCGGGGAGAAACCACTCTAGATGGTTGTTAGTTTGAGCATGTATGATAATTATATAAAAGCAATTTTTGTCATAATTGAATAATGATTCTTACCTTAAAAGCAGGGAATTATTTCCTTTTTCATGCCATACCATTGCTGGTTTTTTACTTTTTATTCAGTTTGGTATATTGGAAGGAAATCAAGGCTTAGAGTTTAACCCTCTACTTTTAAAAAAAAAAAAAACCTCTATGCTCTTTAGCAAGTGTCTTTCCAATTTCAAGAAAATATGATGCTCATGCTCATATGATGGAGATGAGCATGAAATTTATTATGATAGTCTTTATTTAAGCAGTGAATATTTATTCAGCTGACCAGTACTGGACACTGGGGATACAGTTTTGAGCAAAACAAGCATTTCTGCTTCCACAACCTGTAGTAGAGTAGCAGAGGGGCATTAATCAAATAATCACTAAGATAAGTACACAAAGGGTGCTATGAAAAGGCATTAAAATGCAGATCCTACTAATACATAGTGTATAGGAAATACACATTGTTAAGTTACTTTGAATGCTTAACCAACTCTATAAGCTAAGACACAACATTAGGTTTTTTCAAAGAACCATACTTTGTAACTGAAAGATTATTTTTGAGGTTTTACTTACCATCCTAATAGCTGATAGTTATTAATTGATAATTTATGTGTCAGATATAATGTCACATACTTTATGTACATTTTCAAATTCTTGCAAAAACCTTCAAAGTAAGTAATAATATTCTTGCTAAGGAAATTTAGGCTGAACAAGGTTAAATAATTTGCCCGAGGGTGTGCTTGTAGGACCTGCTGGAACTTACCTAACATGCTTACCCATCATGCCACTTCCTGTAATCTTTTAAAGTGATATTGCACGTAAAGATGGCTAGCTTATTAATGGAGAAAAATAAAGTGGATAGCATGTGCCCAGTGCCATTTGGTTTAAAACATATGATTTTGTTGGATGTTAAACCTCCAAATTTTACTTTTTTAAAAAAAATCAGTTAATATTTATTGATTATCATGTTTGTACCAAGGTGAAATAATTTAATTTCCTACCTCAACTCCCTACATTCCTTCCCTCATCCAAAGATTTTCCTGATTTGCTAGACATAGTCATGGAATGGTAATATTTTAAAGAAACATCTGTTATTATGGTCACACGTATTTCCACCTAAGTGAAGCAAGTCACTAATGATTTATGCATATGAGTTTAATAACCATTTCTCTTTTGTCTGGTTACTTAAGAAGATGAGTTAAGTTTTTTTTTTCTCCTGCTAGTCCTATGTTCTAGCCCTATTTTCAGAATTATAAAATATCCCTAGAAATCACTTAATTTAAGCAAAACCAGGAATACTTTTGACTGTTTAACCATTTATGTATTTAATGACTGTCACTAATTGAGTAAATATTATTTACCGCCTATTATGTGTCAGTACTAAGCTCTGTGATAAGGATTAGTAGTGCACAAGGAAAATCCCTGCCTTCATGGAACTTCCATTATAATTGT